CAAACAACCCCCAAATATTTGCCTGCCTGTTTTTGTCTCAAGTCTGAAGAAAACTTCCATTTTTATTGCAGCTGCAGTCTCTCATTGAAACAGAACTTTCTGAAGCATTCCACGTTGAGACACTGAACTTCAGTTTCTCTTTTTTTCAGGTCACTTTTTCAGTCCATTTCCCTTTGTAGTAAAACTCTCCCAGCCAACCTCCCTATTGATTGATATATGGGAGACTTCTCTCCAAGTCAATAATAGCCCAGAGCAAGAATCAGTGGCTCTTTGCTGTTATTTATCCATAAAGAGCTTTATTGAGCTAAACTGGTGTTCAGTTTAGCCTCTCACAGTTTATCATTTTATTTTTTTACCAATTGTCCTTCTTAACTCTGTTGGAATCTGCTGCCAGCTAAATCAGGCCAGAGAAAGCTTAACAAGTGAATGACAACCATAATTCAGTGTTTGCTGCTTCAAACCTTGATCTTGCCATTCTAGCAGCAAAATTCCTGATGTATTTTGAAATTAGCTTTTCTTGCAAAAAGCAATATGCAAGGAATAATGAAAGGAGTGGATTAAAGGGAGCAGGGAATTTATGATGTGCCCAGATCTATCTGCTGTGATTGGGGTACAAATATCATTTCACACCATGCTGCACAGTGTCTCCCCAACTTCATCCATTGCCTCCCATGACAACTGAATACTGAAGGAAATAAACAGAGCTAAATCATTGAAAAGATGACTATTTGTTCATTACTTAAGACTGTGTGTTTCAACTGGCAAAAAACAGGACTAAAAGCAAATACTCCCTGCTCACTAATTAACTCTGCATTTTGTTATTGCTCTACCTCAGAATCCCAGAATCAGAACTCTAAAATAAACTAACTGGACTTGGAGGGTCATGCTTATATCAGTTCCTTATAAAATCTTTGGTTTCTGGGATATTTCTCCCCTTTTTCCACTCTTGGTAGTGATGCACAAGGTAAAAATTCCACTTTTTTTTCCCCTCCAGACTTCACTGTGCTTTCACTTATTCTTGATGTTAATATACATAACAATGTTTAGATATAATTCTGAAGGATATTAAGATGAATAATAATTATCCACTACTAAAAAAACTCCAAAATAGTGTAAAACTGTGGCAGTTATCTGGTGTTTAGGAGCCAAAGTGCTCAGACACATTCCCACATTTCCATGCCAGGAGTGAGCCCAATAACTTTCGTAGAAAAACCCAAACCTCCCCAAAAGATGTATTTTCCATCCTTAAAAGGTTGCCCCTCAATTTTACTGCACGTTTAAAAGACTTCAAAAAGCCTTGCCAATGTTGTAAACACTTCCAAACCTGTGCCCAGAACAACTCTTTGCTCTTAAAAGCTGCCAGGGATTCAAAAATTCTCAATCTGAAATCCTACCTGGGGCAGTGGTAACACTGTAGCCATAAGAACTTTCAAAAAGGGTGTAAAAAAACCTTTTTTAAATTAACGGTGAACACCCTGCCCTCGGGGCAGTTCCTACCTGCTGCTGTCAGCTCATGTTTGGTGATCCTGGCAGTTTCAATCCTAAAACCAGGATGATTTCTCCTCTGTGTTGTGATTTTCAGTAATAAATCCTGATCTTCTCATTATCATCATGAATATCATATAATCCCCTTTTCATCCTCCTGAGCACTTGGTTTTAAAGTTATCTGCCACTGCAAAGCTCCCAGGTGTTAATTGCACCTTGTGTGGGATAACTCTTGCAGCTCCTTCCATGTTCCCTTTCCATTAAATTCCATGTTCCCATCCAAAGGCATCAGCAGGAGCAGCTGATAAAGTTCCCTGCACTATTAATTATTTTGTAGGATCTGCTGTTCCTTCTCTTAATTGTCCATCCTGCTCTCTTCCCAGACATTATCCTTCCCGGGGAGCAGGGAGAAGCTGTGGCTGCCCCATCCCTGAAAATATTCAGGGAGAAGGTGGATAAGGCTTGGAGTGGGACTGTGGAAGATGTCCCTGCATAAAGGTATTCCTATTTATTTAGCACATTAATCTTAACTCCTGGTTTAAAAGATCCAAACAGTGTGGCTGGGGCTGTCTATTCCCGATAAAAACGTGTCCAAGGCACAGGGAATGAGCAATGCCAGGTGGGTTGCAAAGTCTATATTTCATTTTCTCCTCTCCAGCGAGTGCCGGTGGTTCCTGCAGTGAATAATTGGCTGCACCTTGTAAAACACGAAGTGAAACATGTACAGAGAGTCTGTTCTGTCCACCCAGATGTGGCTGTGGAATAATAAAGACCTAAAGATTGCAGCTGGCCTTGGCAGACTCCAAAATCCAGGCTTGTCAAGACACTGGGATCATCTTTATGGATTCATCTGGGGTAAGCAAATATAATTAGAGGATGGAGACACCAAGACCTGCCTGTGCTGACAGCCTCAGACCTGGGATCCACTCTCAATTTAACGAGCCAATTAAGGGAAATTAACAGAGTTATACCCTGCTCCAGTGCCCAGGAGGTAAAATCCCAGAGGGATAAACAGCAGTCCAAGGGAACTGCTTGTGCTGCCCAAGAGATCATTCAGGCACAGGGAGCTGCTGGCCTGGAAGAAAAGGGATGACCCCTCCTGGTTTCACACAGCAGGGTTTTCTTTCCGAGACAGAAGAGTCAGAAATTGCATCCCAAACCCCCAGGGAAGGTGGGATGTTTTTCCCCCCAGTTCTCTCGCTGCAGCTCCTCGTGGTGTGCATTATTTCAGCTCCACCAAACCCCAGTCCTGCAGCACATCTTGGGAAAGACATTTTGAAATGGGAAATAAACTCGGTTACACACCAAAAGCACCCTCAGCAGCATCACACTTGTTTATCAGAACACTTCAGCACAGGGCTGGGCCTCCCTGGTGCAGAATATTTTGCTAAATATAAGGATTAAATTAGTGTAATAATTGATTTTTTATAGGTTGTTAAGAGCTCTGCTTTCCAATCCCCTTATTCTTAGTGGTGGATGTGCTCGGCTTATATCCAAGTTTTGTGGGGTTTTGTGCTCCAATAGCTTCATAATCAATATTTAAATTGAAGTTACATGGAACAATGCTCAAGAAGTTCCTACATTTGATCTGTTGCTATAAGGGCTGCAGTTTCCATTGATCAAAATACACATTCTCTTTAAACCACAATAATAGTGGGTGGGAAAAGAAAAAACCTGCCTGAATGAAGCATTTAAATAGCTGAACCTTCAAAGATCCCAGTCTGATTTGGAATAAAGAGGGGTCATGTCCTGGGAAAGGCAGTGCCTAACAAAGTGTGGGTTCCTGCTCCTTTCTGGATTCCAGGGCTGGCAGCTCTCACTGCTCATTCCCTGCGCTCCCAGGAATTCTTGGAGAGCACCCCATCCATCTCCCAGCTCCTGGTTATTGCCCCCTCCCACAGAGGGGCTCGAAGTTTTGAGGAAAATAAATTTAATTTATTAAATTAATTAATTGTTCTATGGAAGGCCATATACTCCTAATAAACAAGGTGGTAAGAGGCAATGTTTTGTTGAGTCAATATTTTCCTTTAACAGTTCAAAGCAAAGAAAAACCCTACATTTCTGATTAGTTGGTGAAATTGTGTGATTTTAAAATTCCCTGCGCTCCAGGAATTCTTGGAGAGCACCCCATCCATCTCCCAGCTCCTGGTTATTGCCCCCTCCCACAGAGGGGCTCGAAGTTTTGAGGAAAATAAATTTAATTTATTAAATTAATTAATTGTTCTATGGAAGGCCATATACTCCTAATAAACAAGGTGGTAAGAGGCAATGTTTTGTTGAGTCAATATTTTCCTTTAACAGTTCAAAGCAAAGAAAAACCCTACATTTCTGATTAGTTGGTGAAATTGTGTGATTTTAAAATTCTCTTTCACCGAGCAGAAAAATATAAAGAAAGCTACATGAATGCCTCCAGAGGAAAAGAAATAAATTAATAAAGCTTCTGGTTGGCTTGAGAGTAGTTCTACAAGTGCTGTCTGTCCCATGGATGTGGGTTTTTGCTACAGCACATAAATAGATCTGACCCATTTCGGAAGATATTTGGATATCAGTAACACAAACCAGCCCACTTGAATAATCATGAATTTATCTTCAGAAGGAGGCACCTCCCAAACAAGTACTGGGATAAACAATCTCCTCAGGATTGCTCAGAGAGCTGCAGCTGAGGGAGCAGAAGGAGGGTGAATTCCCTGCTTTTGGGGCTTTCTTCTGCCCAGCTCTCCCCATTTAGAGCCTCTTTCCTTTGTCCTTGCCAGGGAGGTGTGATTTGAGTGGGATAATTGGAACTTCCTTCCGCTGCTCCTGCAGCCAGAGTCAAAAGGAGGAGAGAAAAGGATGAACCCAGAGCCTTGAGAGCTGTGCAACCTCTGAGCAGCAGAGTTTTGGGGCCTGGGCAGGAAAGAAAGGAGCATTTTGTTGCTGGAGAAAATTCTTCAGGAACCAAATGCAGCATCTGTAATTGTCTGGTAATTGCTCATGGCCTGTGCCTGCCTCATTCTGGGAGTTTGTTATGCTCATGTTTACTTAGAGGCAAAAGTTGCTCTGCCTTGCCTGGTAATTGCTCATTGCCTGTGCCTACCTCATTCTGGGAGTTTGTTATGCTCATGTTTACTTAGAGGCAAAAGTTGCACCCTGAAATTATTTAGAACTCTAAGAATTAAATATTGGCAGGCCTGACAAGAGAAGAGGATGAATTAAATGAGGAAAAAAAAAATAAAAAAGAGGGTGGATTAGATTTTTCAAAGCCTGAATAAAAACACTTGCAAGACAATTTATGTGTCAGATTTCTAACATCAGCTCTCCAACAGACACACATCATAAAAGCAAGAGTTTTAAGAAGTCAAAGATTTGCAACAGTTAACAGCCAAACAACAAAAGCCTCAACTTCAATGAGTTGTTTATACCCTCTTTAAATAAAGGCAAAATAAGTAAATTTTTCTTATAGTCTCCAATATTTTTCTAGAATTTTCCAACATAAGCTGTATATACCCAAAGAGCATCCTTGGGACAAGTCTTACCTCTTGGACAGTGGACAGAAAATTGCTCTCCTTGGTTCCAGCAGTTGCAGGGGCTGGAGAAGAGAAGATGAACAGTTGGATTCCTCACTCCTAGCAGGAAGCACCTTTGGGACAAGGAAAACCCCAACCTCTGCTGCTCTTCCTGCTTTTATAAACCCCAGCAGCTGCTTCCCCCTGAGTGGTTTCCCTCCTCCAACCATTTCCAGCTGCTCAGGGAGGGAGACCCTGGATCTACTTTGTTAAAATATTAACTGTGAGCCCGTGGGTTGATTGGGGACATCTGCTCCAGGTCACCTCCAGCAGGAGCAGTGGTGGGTGCCTGGGGTGGGGAAAATAAAATAGTTCAGATTGGAAGTTAGAAAGATGATTGATGATGATGAATGAGCTGAGCTGGAAGTAATGAGGTTGGATGTGAGGAAGGAATTCCTCCCTGTGAGGGTAGGGAGGGGCTGGGATGGAAATCAAGCAAAATTAATAAAAACATAAGAACCACAGCCAGTGTGATGTGCATTTTTTAATGGGACCTTGGCCTTGGTCCCCATTCCCAAATTTCAGGATCCCAAATCTCAAGGTAACTTTAATCTTTGTATTTGTATTATTTATATATTTATGGTCTCAACTTCTTGATGATCTCAGAGAGTTTTTTCAATCTGAATGATTCTATAATTCTCTAATATAAATATAAATTCCTGTGTGAGCAACATCCTGGTTTTTCACATCAAAAAAAACTTCAGGAAAATATCAGTGACTGTGGTGTACCAACTTTAGCAGCTGAACCTTTGTGAGTGTGATGTGAACGTGACATTAAAATGCTCCCAAACCCTGCGTAGGGAAGTGTTTCATGAGTAACTGCTAATATTGCACAGCCACAGCTGTCAAGATGAAACAGGACATAAATGGCAGGAAAATCATGTTCTCATCTTTTAAGAGATTAAAAAACCCAGCCTGAGGAAAAGCAGATTAACCAGTGCAAAAAGCACTTGGCAGTGGCCACCCTGGTTCATTCTGAGATTTGCCTGAATGATTTCCAGACTCCTGTTTGGTGTGAGAGGGTTTCAACACATTCAGCAATTCCAAAGATGCGTTCTCACTCCATGAACTTCAAAGGTGACAAATTTGAAAGGAGGCTGAATGTCATCACCCCTTTCTGATAAAGCAGGAGAAAAACACGTGTTCATAAAGGCTTGGGATTGATCCTGAATAAATCAGGAGCAGAGGGGGAACTGAAAAACGCGTGTTTGTAAAGGCTTGGGATTCATTCCAGATAAATCAGGAGCAGAGGAGGGAACAATGACAGGAAAGCAAATCCTGGGTGTCCCTGGTGATGCTGCTGTGACTCCGCCACACTCTGAACTCCTCAGTGAGCCTGGAGCATCACATTTTAGGAAAAAGTTTTTCACAGAAAGAGTGATAAAGCTCTGGAATGGCTGCGTGGGGAGGTGGTGCAGTCACCATCCCTGGGTGTGTTTAACAAAGCCTGGATGTGGCACTGGAGGCCAGGGTTTAGCTGAGGTGTTGGGGCTGGGTTGGACTCGATGAGCTTGAAGGTCTCTTCCAACCCAGTGATTCTGGGAATTCTGTGAATTCCCTTCCTTGGAGCTCTCTGACCACTTTATAAATCTGATTTCCTGCAAATATTTGGGAGCACGTTGGTTGATGGCAGGACAGAAGTGGAATGCTAATGACTCCTGGCTGCAAATGCAGCAGATGAGAACTCGATGGATCCAAGGCAGGGTGTCGGCTTTAATAAAGCAGTGTCATGCCAGGCCTCCCCCGTCGCTGGCCTGTGGTGACATGAAAAATTATAATGGGGGAAAAGCAGAACTTTGCAGATATAAATAACTGGAGACTCTGAGAGAAAATTTCCAAGCGGGGCGGTGGAAAAGTGTAAACATTTATGAAGGAGCTGCAGGGAAGGAGATTATTGCCACCTATTGACAACAGCACTGAAATAATCCAGCCTGTTTGCTCCTGGTGAGCAGGAATTCCCTCCTGGGAGCTTTGCAGCAGGCTGTTCCCATTGGATTTGTGTGGCAGGGGATACAGGGATTGGGAATAGCAGAGGAGTTGATGGCTAGGACCCCATCTGAGGGGGATTTTTAAACAATCCAAGCCTTCAGAGAGGTGGTTTAACAGTAACTGAACACTTGGCAAAGCAGGCCAGAGTGTGTGGTGCTGCTGGATCCAGAGGGATGGAGCAGGCACAGAGGAGGGGGAATGTGGTAAATCCATGGAGTGAAGGCTGTCATCTCACAGGAGCAATGGTGTTTCTTCCATGGGATTTGTCCCTGGAGCTTCTGGATGGATCCCACTGATGCCCGTGGCTGCTGCCTGGGGAGTATTCATCTTGCACACTGCTGGAATGTCCTTAAAACCTGGATTGGAGAATGAACTCAACTGAAAATCAAATCAAAAGTTAGCAGCATTCAGCCACACAAGGTCTAAAATCTGGGAAATCCTTTAACAGGAATGCCAGTCCTGTCCTTAGGCCGATTTCAGCTCCTCAGAACAGTCTCTGTGTGATGATCTCCCTCCTTTCCCGTGTCCTTTGAGCATTTCACATCTGAAATTGATGCTTTAGGGTTTGAGTGACTCCATTTCCATGTATGTGTACCCCTGCAGCTCTTCAGTGTGTAACTCTGAGCTCCACACCCAGTGCCAGCTGCTCCTTTCCCATCCAGGGCAGACACAACAATTCCTCCCCAGGCCTGGCAGCCAAGGACACCTCCCTGCCTCAGGGCCAGAGATGGAAACAAAAGTGAGCTGGGGGAGCAAACTGGGGGTCAGTGACTGCATGAGCTGAAGCTGGGACTGGAGGATGAAGCCCCAAAATGCAAATGGCCCAAACTTATCCAAGTGTGAAACCCGTGAGCCGTGGAGCATTTTGGGTGCAGCCCTGGGGGGCTTGGTCTGCCCTGGATGTACCTGAAGGGCCTGCAATAAACAGAACTGCTTTTTATTCCCTGCACTCTGGCTGCCCTCTGGTTTAGGTAGCCCAGGAAAAAAGGCATCAAAACCCTCTCCCCCTCTGCCTGTCAGGACTCAGTTTATTATTAGGTACCTCCAGTGTGATTCACTCCTGACAGCCCACTGATTTCTGAGCTAATTTGGGTCATTCAGTGCAGATGGAGACCAGTTCCCTGCCCCATCTTATCCAGTCCCCAAATTCATTTGCTATTCAGTGGAAATTCAAGCCTAGAAATTCTTATCTTTTACTTGTCTCTCAAGAATTCCCTCTCTGAACCATTTGCACTTAACTCTGTCGGACAGAGTGGTGAAAACAAAAACTCCAAGAAGTTGGAACAGTTTTCTACCATGTGGCAATATCTACACAGCCTTTGCTGTGGGTATTTTAAAAAATTATTATTTTTTAAATATTTTAAAATATTATTTATTATATTTAATTTATAATTATTTTAATATTTTTATTATTATAATTATTATTTTGGCATCCTTTAGGAGTTCAATCTCTGGAAGAGGTTAAAATTAATGTTGTTTGAATAATCTGTGTCATGGAATGCAATTTTGTTGAATGGGACCCTGACTAAATGCTAACTAGAATTTTAGAGTTTGGTCTGGGGTGTGATTAGAGAATCTTGGAATGGTTAAAGTGGGAAAAGGTCGCCAAGATCATCAAGTTCAACCTTTGACCAAATATGACCCTGTCCACTGAACCACATCAGAAAGTGCCACGTCCACTCATTCCATGATTGCAGATATCTGATGGAAGGAGGTAAAAAAGGCTAAACACAGTAAAATCTGAATTTTTACAGCTGGATATTTAGGAGAAGTAATTTTATACTAAGAACTCAGCAAGGTTTGATTCTGAATCCACTCACTTCCCAAATTGCTTTCTGTGTCTCCAACTTTGTGTGCTAAATTTGAAAGGAAGAGCTCTCAAAAGAAGGGATTTCCTTGAAGAGCAATGCAGATGGCAGCAACGAGAGCAGGAACAAAGCAGACGAACAAATCAAAGTTACACACGGCAAATTCCGAGCCCAAAGTCCACAGGAATGGGATCTGCACTCATGTGCAATCCCCCAACTTCTTAATTGGCCTCCAGGATTTGCCTGAAAATTTGTGGTCAACAGAAAATCAAAGGGAAAGGCGAAATAATTGCATTGCTCGTGTGGCAGCGCAGCCTAATTAATTGACTTTCCTGGTGGCTATAAAATGCTCCCAAACTTTCCCGAGCAGGATTTCAGAGCTGCTAACAAGTGACGGCAGGTGCTGAAGGTGACATTGACAAGCATTTGTCTGCAGCCAGCAAAGAAATACGGCCACACACGCTGGCATTATTGGATATTAGAGGTTCTGCCTTCCAAATGTCATATTTTAAATGTCATTGGATTTGCAGAGAGGGGAAAAAAAATAAAATTTTAATGCTATTTTAGTCTTGTACCTCTCGTTGAGCCTTAAAATAATGTCAATTTTTACGAACACTTTTAATAGTATGCAAAAGTAATTATCTGCAGTCTCTGAGGTTCAGTATCCTTTAATAATGAACTGAGTCATTCCATATCCCAAATTTATTAATGGCTATTTGCAGACTGGAGGGGAGCATAAGCATCAGAGCAATGCAGGAATAGTCAAGCACTGCTAAATTCTGTGAAAAACAGCAGATTCAGATTAATTCATCTATGTGTTATTAGCTGTATTTAGCAGTCCTGAAGCCAAATTTGACCAAAAGATCCATTCTAGTCCCAGACATCCATTCTGGGTGCAATAACATTTAATAGTGGGTTTGCTGGGGTTTAAGCAACCACGTAACCCTGATTTCACAGCCAGCTTTGATTTCACTGTGTCAAAAGCTGTTAGGTGAAGACATTAGGGATGGTTTCATCTTTACTGTAAATATTTAAGATGTAAGATAAGCCTTATTTATCTCTGCAGGTGGCACAGAGGGTGGTGATTCAAAGTGGGTGATTCAAACCTTCCTGAAGTGACTCTCCAGGGGTCACTCCTGATCACTGCATACACCCAGCAATTTCAAACAACACCCAGACAATTATTTTCTACTCAACATCTAAAGAATAACTATCGATTCTGGCAAAGCACAAGAAGTGAAATCGAATCTCAGGCTGGAAAGGCTGCAAAAATTAATACTCCATCTTCAAAAGTGAGAGGGGTCTCATCAGAATCCCCTCATCACACATTTTGCTGTTCCTGTTCTTGTCATTCAGGCAAAAGATGATCTGAGGGTTTGAGCATCC